TAGCGAAGTGATGTCGATACCGGACCCACATAACCTCCCCTTCCTGGAGAAAAGCATACTGATCGTACATTACTGTTATGTCCCACTAAATTTGCTTTTTCTTGCCCTGTTTTTACATTCCATAAAATGACAGCATTATCCTCATTAACAGAGGCTAATGTAAAACCATCAGAAGAAAAGCACACTTAAGAACTTTATCTCATATTGCCACTTACTTTTGATTTAGATTTTGAGATTTAAATTTCCCATAAACGGATGGACTTATCGACACTACTGGATACTAGTGTGCTTCCATTTGGTGAGAAACATACTGAATATATAGATTCTTCATGACCAATTAGATTAGATTTTTAATTTCCTGTTTTAATATCCCATAATATAACAGTTGTATCCATACTACCAGATGCTAATATCATACCATCAGGAGAGAAACACACTGATAGGACTGCTTAAGAATGACCATCTAATTTAAATTTTTACCTTTCTAATATAATGTCCCATAAACAGATAAATTTATCCGCACCTCCAGATGCTAATAAAGTACCATTTGCGGGAGTAACATATAGACAAGATAGCTTTTAGATGGCCATTGAACTATGACTTTCTTTACTCTGACTCAATATCCCAAGAAACAGATGGAGCTATTTTCATAACCTGATACCAATGCCGCGCCATCAGGAGAGAAACATATTGAATAGGCAATTTCATTCAGAATGTCTAATTTCGATTTCTATTGTGCTGAATTAAGATCCCACAAACGTATAGAGTTATCATTACTACTGGATGCTAAGGTTTTACCATTAGGAGAGAAACATAAAGATTAAACCCAATTTGTATGAGCCTTTAATTTGGATTTTTTTAAACCTGTCTTAACATCCAATAAGTACATTGAGAAATCACAACTTCCTGATGCTAATGTATTACCATCTGGAGAGAAGCATACAGATCTGACAGCGCCGGTATGATTATTAAATTTGGCCTTCGTTAATTATCCTGTCTTAGCATCCCATATTCGAACAGAATTATCATCACTACCTGATGCTATTATAGTGCCCTCAGGAGAAAAGCATACTGATCGAACAGTACTGCTATGCCCATCTAATATATATTATTCTCGTTCTTCCATTTACAATTAAATAATTATGCATCATTCAAATTAATTCCATTAATGACTACCGTATCAAATTCTGATTTGCTAAGATTGCATTTAAAAAAATTTGCTCCAATTAAAGAGGTATTTTTAATCTTTATGCCCTTAAAATTTTAGTTCTTAATATCAACCTCCATCTCAACTAATAAACTCAGAGAATTTGATCCGCATTAAACGAATTAATAATCTAAAGAAGTAAGTTCAACTAAAAATTTCAGAAATTGGAGTAGATTCTTTTCTTTAGATATTTTAGTAATTAGACCATATCTCTATTCCTTGCCAGTTTTGTAATAATAATTCTTTTTATTTAAGTCAGTCTAAAGTATGTTTTTCAAGCTATTAGCAATATACATAAATTTGTTGTTTAAATTCTTAAACAACTATGGAGATGATAATTCATCCTAAAAACAGCTTTATTGTAAATATTTTTTATCACAACCCGCTTAAAGAAATTCAATACAATTTGTTTTTTTTTCCTTTCTTAACATTTTGGTAATCTCAGTAAATATTTATTCATCAATATCTTTTAAGGAAGCTAACACCTCATACAAATCTTCCTTCCATTCATATAGATAGTCTTCCTATTGAAATAATTTAATACTGTAATAATATTATTATATTTTTACTTAATTTATGATAACTCTTTATAATAGCTCTTAAAATTTTTCTTAAGAATACTTATTTATTATTCCATACTTTTCTCTATCCTAACCAAATTCGCACAATATAAATTCTTTTAAGCTACCAAATCCTCAAGTTTTTTTCCCTTCTACAATTGATATTAATGTTTCTAAGTCATCAGAAGTTGATTAAGCTAAACTCACATTTTCGACGACAAGATTCCTATACGAAGAATTGTACTAGAGAATCTTCATTGTTGTTAATTCTATTTATTATGTAACCTATCCCCAAAAATACTATAATGTGTTTTCAGTTTTAGACATCATAAATTTAAAAGAGTCTCTAATGGCGATTATTTTAGAAAGATCGTCAATCCTATTTTCATTCAATTTTGTTTTAGCCTTTTCTAGGATCTATTTAATTGGGATTGTTAGTTTCCAATCCACTCCATGGTCGTAAATACACTCAATACAAAGCTTTCTCAAGCGATTACATTTATGAGGTGCTAGACATATCAGTTCTATTTAACGTCCATCATGATTAGGGCATTTCATTGGTTTTTGTTTAAAAAATTAGTAATTTCTATCAAGTATTTATTTTGAAAAATTACTTTTTTATAAAAGGCACTACTATGTAGGATTAGAATTTGAAATGGTGTAAGTTAATAAGAAATTATTATTTACTTTTTTTATAAGAGGCAATATATTTATAGATATGAAAGTAAATAAACAAAATTTTAAGTAAATCTTTCTAACTACTTTTTAAATTAAACTCATCAAAATGTAGAATTTTTAAAGGACATATTAAATGATGAATAGGCTTAAATCATGATTCATAACATTATTAGCCAAAATGAAGAAGTTAATCATGATACCTAAGAAGGAATCAATCTTTAACTAGTGAGAATAAATTCTTATATATGCCTAGCAATTCATAAAGTTTAATGACTAAGAATAGTAATGAATAGTCAGAAATAATGGCATCCAAAATATCATCAAGGGTAATTGTTAAAGAAGAAATTAATGATAAATCAGAGACTATAAATTATAAATTAATTAGTTCAATGATTGCAATTAATAGGGGTGGTTCTCTTATAGCTGCATCATACAATAATGATATCGAAATCCGGAAATTTAAAGATGGAATTTTGATTGATTAAAAAATACTACTAAAAAGGCATGTATACATGATTAAGAAAGGCTTACAATAATAAATATTTCAATTAAATTAAAACCCAAAATATCATCTTTAGGATGCTTATTTACCATTTAGCCTTTGCAATCTTTGTGTTTCTACTTTAAATATTAATGCTCTATTTACTTTACTTTAGAAAGCCCTCAAATAAATTAATTGAAAAAAAATAAAATAAAGTGATTCCAATCCTTGAATAAGAACATATGTAATTACATCGATCTCAATCAGTTGAACAAACAATAAAGAAGGATTTTAGACGTAAAATTAATCGACAGGGAATATAATCAAGTGAAACTGCTATTGAATCAACTAATAAAAATTAATATAAACCTTTTAAGATTACATCATAAATGTTTACTTCTAAATATTAGATCATTAAAGTCAGTTCTAATGTTGTTACTCTAGATGCTTCTCAATAAAAAGAGTAATTAAAATCAATACCTTCAATGCAAGAACTACCAGAAACTGTTCGAGCACAAGATACTAATTTAATAACTATTACAGAATCGGAAAATATTAGAACAGAATTCATAAATTCAAGAACAATTTTCAAATTAATTAATAGATTAATAGTATTATAAGGTTTGTTAGGATGCTTCCTATTTTTTCATTTGCATTTTGCATTGGCAAGTCTATTGTCATTAATTACAATATGGATACTTAGATTTTTCTAAACAACAAATATTTATATTGATGTTCTCCAATTAATATTATTTATTTCTTTTGATATTACCTCCTTATGCTTTTTTTATCCAAATGAAATATGGACTTATACTTATTTAGTTTTATTTGCAATCGAAGTCGTATTAGAACTAATAATATTGAACACATAAAAATAAAAAAACTTTGAAAATTTACAGGCATCTGCAGAGTAACAAACTTGATTTGCTCTTTTATTTGATTTATTTCTATATTGATTTTTCATCTATCTTAATTCTGAAGAAAGTTTAAGACAATATCTGAATAGCATTTTTCTTAAATTCTTGAGAACAATATTAGCTATCAATATTTCAAATTGTATTATAAAACAAATTTTTGTTGTTTTTTATTTAGACCTAAAGACGACATAAAGAATGATAGCGGAACGGCAGTGAAAATTAATTCTATTTTTAGTTCTGATCTTTCAAAATGAACACACTTTGCCTCTCAACTCTTTGATATCTTTATTTGATTTCTTACATATAATTTATAACTTGATTTAAAAAGTGGTTGAGATTTATAATCAAACAATTTAACGTTGAGATTTAAGAATTGTTCAAATATTTAAATAGAGTCTTCGTAAGACAGTGAGTTCTATCTTTTTAATATCTATTACATTAAAAATCTATAATGCATATTTAGTTTGCCTCTCCCTTACTTTGCTAAATCTTACCGTTTAATTCAGAATTATCTATTTAATTTAGTTAAATCCTTATTGTTCAAACTAATAACATAGATTTCTTTGATTCAACTAAATGCAAAAGTCTGTTAAAGTTAAGGCAGAAACCTTCTGCCTTAAATTTACAATTTTTTTAGATGAGTAATGCTATCATTATTTCTCCAAGGTATATACCATAAGTTTCTTTGTAAAATGGATTGATGTATTTAAGATTTAATTCATTATTTATTAATTTAAGAAAAACTTATCAATTTATCTTTTTTCTCAACAACTCATATTTTCTGATACAAAACAGAGACTCAACTCCAGGGTCATTTATCTTGTTCCTATGAGTAAATGAATTAGCAGCATATTAAGTTATAGCTGTCTAATATTCAGAATTGTTGTTTCGCCTTCTCAGTCTCTTCAACGGGTTAGAAGACTCTATTTACCCTTTCCCATTGATGCAGAAATTCAATTGTTCAGAATTATTTTTAGTGAGAGGAGACTGTATTTATTTTCTTGAATGAGGATAAGAGAGAACAAACATTCTTCTAGCATCTACTGTAACTGATTTCGATCTGAGTTAGTGAACAATTGATCGATGCTTTTATTTTAGGATTGGTGAATAGGAATGAGGGTAATAATTCATTATTAATATTAATCTATGGTTTTCATATTAATCAATTCTTATCACCTACAGCATATCATTAGTAAAGTTATTCTCTAAGAGCTCTTAACGTTTTATTGACTAACCCAATAGTATCAGAAACAACTTATCGATCAGAATCTCTATTGAAAATTAATAACATAAATATTCTTTAAGTATACCCTACAGATCTAGCATTGATTCCAGCTATCTGTTCTTCTCATAAGAAGTAAATCAAGTCTCTAGTTGGTGTTTTCCAATAAAGCTTCCATTTATCTAATGATGTCAGAGACGCTTGCAAAATTGGATTCAGTATTGCTAATTCAGATTCAGCTACTGTGAGAGGATTAACCAAACATTTTCTTGTTTGTTATAAACCTCTACTCTCTTGTCTTCTGCAAATCTTTGTGAACTTAACGAATCGCTATCTTCACTAATTAATCTGTCGAATAAATCAACCATTATATGAAGTATCTTAGGTAGTTATTACTTTTAAATTGTAGTGTCATAAAACTTTGTTTTGCTTGCAATTTGACTCAATAATTTCATAACTAGAACAAATCTCTAGAATTTGATAATTTCTTTATGATTCCTTAATATAATTCGAAAGAAATGAAATATTCTCCTATGAGATTTCTTTTTTTAATGGATTGCTTACTTCTCAACTAAAGATGAAGTGGCTTCAACATTGGCTTTTATAATATTTCTTGATTCAGTCAATACAGCAATGACAGTGTTATGATCAGCTGCAAACTCTTCTAAATCTATATGCTAAGCTACTCTCTCAGCATCTAGCTCATCAATTTCCTTTTGATATCCTAAACCATTATAATTTCACTCTGTGACTAATCCAGAGAGAATAAGCTTTCTTGGATATATATCACCTTCAAGTCTTGCTTCAAGAGAGACTCTTTCAGAATCAGTATTGGCTATGTCGTTATCATAAACTGAAATGTCATCATTGCAAGCATCCTAAAATACTTTTTCTTCAGCATCCTCCATTTATTCCTTTTAATATCTATCTTCCATGTCTGAGAGTTTATTAATAATCTCCCAAATTGTAAAATTAATCTTATGAATCAATTGATTGTGTTCAGTTTCTGTTTAGTCAAAGCTGTGTAAGCAAGAACTAATAAAAATATTTCTTTCATTAAACAAGCATCCCATATTCATTATTAAGTAGTTTTATGTTAAATGTAGATTACCACCCTCAAACAGGTTATAAAATAAATATATTTTAATTTCTCATATTCTCAATTTTTAATTCATCCTATTGTAAAGTTTAAGCTATCATTTTTCATATATTCAATTATTCACTTTCAATGAATATTTTAAATGAAAAACTTTTTGTCTGATATATATCACTAATTTATTTAAATAATCATGTTTATAATTACAAATATTAGATATTTGATTTGCTTTCCAAAAAATGGGTAATTTTTTAAGTTGAACAAAAGCATCTAGTCACTCGAATTTGATTCTGATTCTAATCTGAAATCAATTATTATTCGGTTCAAAAAATTAGACATCTTCTTTAAGGAATTAATGAATCTATACTGCCCATACTATTTACTTTCTAAAATACTAAATAATTTAAGATAAGAGCATAAATTTTCAAATTAAAAGCAATAGCTATTTGAATTACACAGTAAGGTTTTTAAAGAATAAAGTTGTTAAGTAATACTCAATCAAGAATCCCTTATGAACTGAAAGATACTATATCTATATGATAAATAAATTTTTTGATTAACAACAATTATAAGCATAATCATATATGAAAATAGATTCAATTTTAATTATCCTAATATTAATTTAGTGAATTTTAGGTTTGTTTTGAGTCCACTAAATTTATTATAATATACTGATCCTGAATTTAAATAATTAATTCAAATAAAATCTTCTTACTTCTACATAATCTGCAATGCTGCTTACTAAATTATTTATTATTCATATGAAACTATTTAATATAATCTTTTGAAGTTATTCCAAACTTTTAAGATAATTAGAACCTACCTTTAATATTAATAAATATTTAGAGATATCACAATAAAACAAAGGAAACAACTAAACTCTTTGCCCAGTCCAATTCTATAGAAATCTAATTATAAAATTATTTACAAATACAATAATAATTAAATAGATCTTATAAAATTTCATTAGATGTGTGTAATTTTTAAATCTTTCTATATACATCTAAATTTTAACTTTCCATTTCTAATTTTCATTAGAGGTACTTTAATAAACCTCTTTGAGTGGGTCTATTCCTTAAAGAGAATTTAGAATTTATTAAACAATTAATATATTCGTTTTTTGAAAACATTATTAAAATAAAATAATGAAGTACATTCTTGTGTTGGCTTTGATTACATTCTCATATGCTACAACCTTGACAGAAATGTCAGAAAAACTTTCTTAATATGGAGATCATCCTTTTGGAAAATCAATGGTCAATTTGGTTACAGTTAACATGAAAACAGGTGGTTCCCTCAATGAATTGAAATAACTCTTATAATAAATTAAAGATGAACTCATTGCTCTTACTTAATTGCAAGATTCAGAAAATGCTACATTCACTCGTAGAAGTCAAGTTGATTTGGCTAAATTATAAGCTACACTTGAATAAGCATAAGCAGATTTAGACAATCAAAGAGAAGAGTAATCAAGCTTAAGCAATGAATTAGCTACACTTTAAACAAGAGTGAAAGAGGGTAATTAAATTAATTTTATTTTATTGCAGATTAAGCTGCTTTGGATAGAAACAGTAGAGGAAGTGGGGATGCTCAATCTAGGCTTGATGTTGAAAATGCTGATTTTGCTACTAAATACTCTGATTACAATGATGCCATTTTAGCATGTAAAGAAGCATAAAGATTATTATTGAACTTGAGAGGTGAAGGAGCATCTTTAATTTAACTTACGTATTTCTTTGATAATTACCAATTTAGTTAGGATACAAAGAGCAACCTCATCTAAACCAAAGAAAACTTTTAAAAAATAAAAGAGATATTGGAGGCTCATACCAAAAAAAGCTCCTTAACGTTATTCCAACCAATCATTGAAGGACTAGCTGAAATGACCACAAAGGTTAATCCAGAAACTTTGAACAATGTTCTAAGTTTAGTAGCTCGTTTGATTACAGCTCTCTAAGAAGGTTAAGATTAATTAGAGTCTAATCACAAAACTTAAGTAAATTTTAAATTCATAATAAAAGGTTGATAATTTGACAAGATTGGGTGATGATTTGAGAAACGAGAAATAAACCTTATAGGTTTCTTTAGCCACTGCAAACAATAGACTTAAAGAAATATAATCAAGATTAAATGAATTAGATGGATTGATCAATATTTCAAATGCTTTAGTTGAGGTTACGCAATTAAACATTTAAGATGCCACTAAAATCAATGAATTAGAAGATGCTGAATACAGTAATTAAAAGGTCAGCAGGTATATAATATTATATTATTTCTCTATAGATAAACTGAAATTGATATAGTTGATAGATTAATTGAATACATCAATTAAAAATTATCAGAGTGATTCGATACAATTATATAAAAAATATCATTATCATTCTAATATTATTTTCTTATGAATTTAAAGTTTTTTGAAAAAAGGTATAATCAAGATAGTCTTTCAATATTGTTACACGATTACAGTTTTAAACCAGGTCCTTAAAAAGGAAGATGTACTGGGGAAACCGAAAAATCATCATCTGCATCATCTAATTCAGATTCTTCATAAAACATTTTGTAGATTGACTCCCTTCTAATGATTCCTTAATTGTCCTATTTATTTTTTCTATACAAAAGAGTGATATCAGCCTTTGACATCTTTATATCAATTTTTAGCAATATTTGCTCGAATTTATTTAGGCTGATTTCCTAATTTTATGAAACTCCGCACTAAATAATCATTTTAAGAAATACCTCTTTACATATTTCAATAATTGAAATCGAATTTAATCTTAATCGAGTTATTAGATCATCCAACAAATCATCAATTTTAGATTAATCTTGCTAAGTTAATAATGGACTACAAAATTCTAAAACTTAAGCTAAGATTATCTATTAAAATGATAGATATTTCTTACATCATTTTAACTAAACCATAACAAAACACATTCAAATGGAATAGTATCTCTATTGTTATGATTTAGCTTATTAAATACTATTTCTGCATCCTCTAATGTAAATTATTTATCAATAGATTATAAAAGTAAATTGAGATCATCAATATTTAACTTTTTTGGAAGTAAAATATTTTAAATTAATTAATTTATGTTAAATTTTCTTATTTTCATGATATTTCTTATTCTGGTGATTATTTATTGAGAATTACCATCTAATTTTTGAAATGGATTTGATCGAAATATACTATGATTGTAAATGTCGACCCAATCTATTCTGTCTTTTTCATTTATTTCAAGACAACTCTTAATAAATGATTTGCTGACATCACTCACAAATGGTTAAGTCGGAAACTCTAGAGTTTCCTCATAAATTTTTTTTAGAAGTTTCTGAGACGTTTCATGATACCAAGGGGCTATATGTTTATCAAATTAATTACTTGCGCCATATAAGCTTTCGTAAAACAATATTCCGATTGACCATATATCACATTTACTTGTATAATTACTATGCTATTAAACTTAAGGACTCATATACAAAGGTGTTCCAACACATTAATTCAACATCTTTTACTTAGAGATTTAAGTTGCCAAACCGAAATCTCCAAGTTTAAACACTCCATTGCTATTCAATATATTAGCTGGTTTTATGTCTCTATGTACTATCCCATACTTTAATAAAATTTAGTATCCAGAAAGAATATCACGAAGAATTTTAATTGCCTCTTTTTCGTTAAGCTGTTATTCCTTCAATATCTTCTTCAAATCCCCCTGTTGACAAAGTTCTTATATTAAGTAATAGTTTGACTGGCTTTCACAAACATCAAATAGCTTTACAATATTTTTTGAACTAAGTTTCTTCAGAATCATCATTTCATTTATGAAAGCCTTCTATGAATAGGATTCCCTAAAGTAAAAATAGACGAATACCCTTCCAACTTAGTCTTTTTAACAATTTTAATGGCAACATCAGTTTAAGTATTTTAATCAACTCCCTTGTAAACACAACCATAGTTGCCTTTACCAATTACATGGCCTGTATTATAGAAATATTTTTCAATGCACTTATCCTACTACATTTACAGATTCGCAATTTAATATATACAAAAAAAAAAGTCAATTAGATTCGACAAACAAGCAAAACGCATACTAATTAAAGATGGAAAAAAAATGTCTTATATAAACTGGTATTTAAATAATCTAATTGAATCTAAAGTTCTTCCATTATTAGATTTATTTTTTGATTTACCACAATACAAGAAAGTGAGTTTTATTTAGTAATTAATTATTTATATATAGTAAAGTTAATTATTAGTCATACTTTCACATTATATATAATGCGATCAATCTTAAAAATAATATGAACTTTTTATTGGTATTCATTTTACTTGGTACATGAATTTCAATATCTCATAAATATATTAATTTAAAATGATTTGATGAATTTATTATTTTTTAGTTTCTTCCTTTTTATTGATTTCGATTTAAATAGTGCTTTTTTCTAGATGTTTCGTTCATGGATTATAAGTAATTCAACAATTTTAGATAATGAGATTATGATAATTAACAAAGCCAGGATTAAATATAAATTTTAAATATGGCGTTAAAATTGTCTTAAACTGATGAAAAGTAAAAGCAGTTAATTGGAATACTAAACTAAGGATATTTAGTAGTCCTATATAGATATTCTTATAATCACATGAATATTATATTTATATAAAGAAATATATTTAAATAAATAAAATTTATAATGATTAGAGATGATTTGATAATTTCCGACCCAATACGAAAGGTAATAAGGCAGAACCCTCAATAAAATAGTGAACCAGATATGGAAGAAACTAAAGAAGGTGGCGATACAAATTCTTCTTAATCTGAACAAGAAATGAGTGAATACGAATAAAGTCTAATCCATGACTCATTGATATCCTCTTTAACTCCAAGTTATTTGCTAATGAGTAGTTACAATTCATATATATCGCGATTCGAATAAATAACCAGTAGTTCAGGCTCAGATTCTTCAAGCTCAAGTTCAAGTTCGAGTTCAAATTAGACATCTGAGAGCGAGGATGAAGATGAGGAAAGGAAAGAAAATTTATCTGTATCAATTTCTGAATGATATATAATTATTTAATCAGCTTTTATCATGCAACAACAGATTCATTACTGCATTTTTAGTTGTACTCATTTCCGGCAAAAAATAATTGCTATGGAGATAACAATATATGGATGTATGTGTATTACATTTGGATGTTAATATATCTAATTACAAGATTATTAAATGCTATTAGTAGTGCTATTTGCAATTAATATTGCTATCCTTTTGATTAATAGACCAACTTTGAGGCTAAGAATTTTTTTTATTAATATGAAGTTTTGTGAAATGCTTTGAATGAGGTAATTATTACTCATAAATCAGTGTATTAATAATTTGTCGACATTTCCATTTAAATTTGACTCTCCCTCCTTTTAGAGGGGCATCCTATTTTTAATTTTTTAATTTTTAATTTATGAAAGGTGGTGCAGCTGTATAATAAAACTCTGTGATTGATAAGATATCAATATTATTGAATAAGATATTTGCATATAGCAATTTAGCAGAAAGAGAAGGAAAAGGAATTTGCCCAAATATTTTCACACGGTAAAAATATATAAATATACTAGATAGTAAGATATCATCCAGAAATTGGTTTCTCTGCAAAGAATGGGAGTAAACGATGAGATATTTGTTACGGGATTATTTTTGGTTGACCGTCTGACAACAAATAACAACTTTTACCTAAATAAAAGGAATATTTACAAGTACCTAATTATATATATTTGGAAAGTCTTCTGATGACAGCCATCATTCTCTGTCTTAAGATGTATGACGATAACCAAAATGTCTAACACATCTATTCAATCATTTTTGAAACCAATAGAGAGATCCTCAACAAAATGGAGAAAAAATTCATGAAGCTCATAAAATACTAACTATTTGTGAAAACAGAAGATTTCTTCAATTACAGAGCGCGGTTACTTAAATTAAAAGATTGATGGTTTGCACAACTCATAAAAACTCCATTTAGAAACATAAATTATATAATATTCATAAAATATATTTGCATTTATTTGTTCTTATTTTTATAACAATATTCTATACTTATACAAATTTACATGTTTAATATGGTTTTTAAATGGTTTCACAATTTTCGTTTTGCCTCTTTAAATGCTTTAAATAAGCCATAAATCGTATTTAATTGCTGATGTACTCCTTAATCATGTAGAATGCTACCAAAATCTTGATCTAAAGCCATTCATAGATAGTGTAATATTTCAAGAACAGACATGATTTCTTTATGTTTCTTATTCTGATTTATCCCATAAGCAATAACCTACTGAATTATTTTCAATGTTTATGTTTAAAGTTACCTAGAGTTAAATATGTTAATTTTTATAATTATCGTTTTTTAATTGGATGATAAAATAAGTTTTATGCGCATGTCTATTATTGGCATGTATAGCAGTAGAAGATGGCAGTTATTTTTAATATATGGAAGTAAATATTAATATGATGGAAATAATAGATTGACAGAGATGAATTTGGCAAAACTTTGATTGATACATTGGAACTGAATATATCTGGTGGACAATCATTGGAGAAAGTAGTTGATCTAATGCGTGATTTGGAAGGTTAAATAGATAATGAATAAAAGGATGATGACATTTCTAACCAATAATTTTAAAAGAAATGTGATGAAGTATAGACCAAATTAATATATAGGATTTGACTAACTAAGAGAGTGAGATCAATTAAACATAATTAACAATTGTTGAGAAATAAGGCAAGTTGGATGAATTGTAGAATGCTTAACAAAGAAAGAAATAAGTAGCTAATGCTAAGGATTCATGGTTGAAATAAATCTAAGAATTGATATCTTAGAAATAAACAATAAGAAATCAAGAATAAGATAGGTATGAGTAAGAAATGAATGAAAATTCATATGTTATTTCTGTGATTTCTGAAGTTAAAAAGAAATTCACTTTAAATGGAATTAATTTAATCTAAATTAATAATCATGAGGCATTAATGAATGATTTAGAAAATGCTGTTGATGAAAGCAGGAACTTCAAATAAAATACTAGATATTAAGAAGTGTTTGGATTGTTTTTATAAGTTGCAGCAAAAGTGAAAGGCGAGGGTGCCGATAAATTGAAATCTTTGTGTGATGATCTATTAGTCAATGTATCTGACAATATGTCATTAATAAGAAAGTAAGAGGATAAAAGAAGAGAAATATTTGAAAAAGAGATTTCATCTTTACAAAAGGATTTACAATAGGTATAAAGTGATAAATCAATGATTGATGCAGGATTAGAACAACTTGATAATTCGATATCCATGGGATAAAATGATATGACAGATTATAATGCCAGAATCGAAAGCAAAAAATAAACCAAAGAAGATAGAAGAAAAGAATGTTCCTAAGCAGCTTATGAATACAAATCAAGTAGGGAATAAAATGATAGAAAAAGACAATTAGTTTCCTAAGTAATAGGATTATTTAGTGCCAATTAAAGGGAATTTAAAGAATACTTAAATATTAGAAATAATTGAGATTATATAGATGATTTTTCATATGTAAAAATATATATAGACAATCAGTTTATAAAGTAATTGTATTTTTAGGATTCATTAGATAATCCTGTTAATCCTTTTTCAATATAGAAGTCTTGAATGAAATTAAAAATTTTTAATCTTAATGTTCTTTTATAGATAAAAAACTTTATTATATCTATTAGTTTCATTAATTAATGGAGTTATAAGAATGATTTAAATAGGAAATTATTATGACACAATAATCCATTCAAGTTGATCAGTATACGCTTTACTTTTAATAAAAATTATTAATTTTAATATTAAATAAATATCTTTTAATTAGGCATTTCATCTCATCTATTTCTAGAAATAGATCTAAATTCTGTTAATTTGTGTAATAAAGAGTTAGTAAAGTATTTGCATTTTCTGTAAACTTATCTTTTATTCAATTAGATAAATTAAAAGGATTTTCATCTATTTTTTCAGGTTTTGCAAGCAGTTTAAAATTGCTCTTTAAAAGTTATAGAAAGCATTCAAAGTTTGTTATAAATATATCACAATTCTTAGAAATCAACTTGGCAAATTATTAATTAAGAATTGGTAGGATAATTCCATAAATATATTTTACAAAGTAATAATAAAATAGTGAGAAGAGTAAATTTATTTAATTACATTTACTTGATTTTCATGATATTTCGTAAAAATACAATTCAATATTCACAATTATTAATTTATCTATTTTCAGATGTTTATAAACTACGCAAACTATTTGCTAATGGGGTTGTGCTCAAAGGATCTAATTTACTGCATACTAAGTCAATCTAGAATTCCCACAATCATTTATTTGATTGTTCTGACTGTTATGATAAGTAAATTGTCACATCATTATTCAAGTTTAACAAATACTGAAGATCAAATTTCGAATATCTCACTCTGAACTCATCCTTTCGTTTATTTATAATATAATCTACATTACTTTATTTGGAACTTCATCTATTTGGTAAGCTTATTACGTAATGAACATATTCCAAAAAACTAATTACTATTTTCTTGCTTCTTTTCCCATAATAATTTACCAATTGGTACTAGAAGTCATAGAATTTGATCTGATAGTACCAAAGACATTTGGCTTTTAGATTTCATCTGCTTCGATGATCATAGTATATTAATTCTATTGTTTTGTTAAAGAAAATGATATTGCCTCGGTTGCGGAATAGGTCATTATAAAATAATTGTTGAAAAATAGCTACATCAAAGTCTTCAATAGAAATTTAGAAGATTTAACGCCTGATGTGTTGTTGAGAAATGTTAAACCCCCATCCGGATAAATCATTTTTACCACTAGAAATAAGTCAGAAAACTTTGAATTAATCCCAAATTCATTAAATAAAGAACTAAAGATTAAAAGTTTTCTTAATAGCGACATGCAATTGGAGGAATCTGGAGACTCAGTTATTGACAGTCCTAATAAATATTAAAGTTATAAGGATTTGAAAGAATTTATTAATAATTTTATTTAGAATTAATAGCCTTAAACTGAGGAAAATTTAATCATTGCTTCTGAAATTGAGATGGATTCTGGTAAAAAGTAAAAGTTCAAGGTGATTATTAATACAGAGATTGACAAATACTACATTTTAGCATTTATTAAGATTGATTCTGCCATAGTGAGGAAACAGCACAATTCAATAGCAAAGTTCAAAACCAGATTGGCAAATAATTTTACTCATAAATTAAAAACATCCCTCAATGCAACATTAGCATATTTGTCGAATGCCATAAATGACCGAAATTTAGAAAAAACGGTATTGCAATCTTACATCCATCCCTCCTACATACATTCAAAAATATAATTATACCAAGTTTAGGATTTGCTTGATTATCTCAATACAGAGTAAGATTAAATCGGATTACAAATAACAAAATTTAATCTTCAACAATCTTTAGGCCAAATATATGAATTCATTGAGTACTAATGCAAAGTGAAAAATATTGCCATTAGGTTTCTGATAAATGGGTCTGATTGGAAATCACATGAAAGGTAAATGTTCAACTATAACCATAGCTAATTCTACCTTTATTCTGACTGCCAAAAATTTGAAAGGGTTTTATTTAATTTAATCAACAATTCATATAGATATGCTCCTTTGAATGGGGAATTAACAATAGATTTAGTATATGATTCTACAGGTAATAAATTACATGTCAAAATAAATGACAATGGAGATGGGATACCGGAAGATTAACTAAATATAATAAATACTCAAGCCTAATTATAAAATAAGTATAATATCACTAATAAATATGTAACTTCTAAGAATAAATCGAAATTTGGGTTGACCCTACAGATCACAAATAGATTGATTTATATGCTTAGTGACTAGAATTGTTCCTTGTAAGTCAAAAATTAAAAAGAAATAGGAGGCTGTAGTTTCGAGTTCTTTATTATCATTAATTCTACATCTAAGGAAGGATCATTGGAGTAAATTAAATACTCAAATTATATCAGATAATCTAAACAATCCTCAATCAAATTACAAAATCATATTAATCGATCTTCTAACTCTTCTTCTTAACGATCAATCTTTTCAAAAAACTAGTATGATGAATGCATCGAACCTATTGAAGAAGAACCTAAACCTGTCAAACCAAGATTATCCAAAACTTATTAATGTCATGATAACAAATAATTAATAACCCCAGTAAAAAGACCTACGTTATCTGGAATAAGAGATCTATAATTGTCAAATATTATCGATCAAGTTAATCAGACTGGAATGAATCATAATCATAATCATAATCAAGATAACCGTTTCATCTTAATAGTGGATGATGAACCATTTAATCATAACACTCTAAATTTGATGCTTTAAAAATTAGGTCATAAGCAATTCCTATATTCTTTCAATGGATAGGAATGTATTGATAAGGTTTAGTAAAATTCTTCATTAATCAAAACTATATTTATGGATTTAGACATGCCAATTATGGGAGGATTGCAAGTAATATATTCTATTCATCTAGCAGGCTACTTCAATACTGATTCGAATGATGACCGAAGGAAAAATAGACTATATTCCAATTATTGGTTGCACCGCTCATGACGATTTCGAGACACAAATCAAATGTTTGAATGTTGGTATGGCACATGTGGTCACTAAACCTGTTTTTATAAAGAGCTTACAAGAAGCTTATCGATAAATTAGAGAAGAGCATTAATAGTAGGATCATCGTAGTCTTCAATTGTCGAATTCATTAGAGAAATATTGAAGTTTAAACTCTATTTATCTTCTTTCTTATGAAACTTAATATATTAGCTGATGATATATTGATATAATAGTTTTAATAAATTAATCTTCGATATGAATTAAACAGTTTTTATCTCTCCTAACATATTAATTTAGTTCATGTATTTTTAATTTATTTCAATATTTATGCTGTAAGTCTCATAAATAGGACATGACATTTTTATAGGATGCCTATACAAAAATATGATATTGATTGTAATTAGCGGAACCCTCCTCTTTTTTACTCTACGTATACAATTTAAACAATATTGATAGTCATCTATTTGAATATTATTAAATACAACAGAACCTTTTACATCTCCCAAGCAATTCAATTTTGCTTTATTGTATATAGAGCCTATTTTTATGGTTCAGCATAACTTTGGTCCTCATTTCAATTACTTAATGCAAATTTCAAGAAAAATTATTCAATGTAATTAATTTGTTACTTTCTCTCCTTACTTATTTTTGTACTTGTGTATAGTTTACAATATGATGGTTTTTTAAAATTGAGCATGGGTAGCGAGATATTCTAATGTTGTTGTTATATGCTATACTTCTTCTATTAAAACAAAAATAATAATGAAAATTTAAAATTAATAGAGGACAAGCTTCTGAGTGAAATTAAAAAATATTGCTTTTTAAAAATTTTCAATAAAAATAAAAAATTAGTCATTACTTATCCAAAAACAGATGAATCAAAAAAGTTTGACTTTTTTCCAAATAATAACCAATTCATTTGTCTTTTTAGAGTCTACATGGATCAAGAAATAAGCAGTTCTCCCTCTAATTAAAAATCATTCAATAGAACCAAAATTTTTAATAATACTGAAGATTTCCTATCTTATTTGGAATCCGCAGATAACCTAGATAACTTAGGTTTTAATTGGTATTCTGCAACAATCCTTGATTAACAGACAAAAATAAAAACTAAATATCGCGTTACTTAATCAAAATTAAAAAATGATACTATTGTGCTATTCTTTATGAAAATTGATCCCACTCTCGAGAAGAAATCTTTTGGGAAATTTTTGCATTTAAAAAAGGACATTTCAAATATTTTTACTCATAAGTTGAAGACTCCTTTAAATGCAGTATTAGGTCATTTAACATAGGCGTATTATGATCAAGAAGTAGATGTATAAATACAAAACAATTACATTAAACCTGCATATATTAATTCTAAATTGCAATTATTTTAAGTTCAAGATCTAATTGAATATTTGAATTTTGATTAAGATAACTATACTTTGTAGATTTGCAAGATTAATTTAAAAACCCTATTATATTCATTACAAGAGTTGATCTAGCAGTAATGTTAGATGAAGAGCATACATCTTTTATTTACTATTAATGAAATGAGGTATGTTAAATTAGATAAGTAATATTATCTATAAACTATTTTAGTGTTTTCATTTATTCCGATGTTCTAAAACTTGAAAGGATACTCTTCAACCTATTAAACTTAACTTATAGAAATACTACTGAAAATGGGTGTATTTCTTTAAATATAGTTATTGATAAAGATTTAGACGAAGCTTCATTTTCAATATCAGATACAGGATTAGAATTATCTTAAGGAGAAATAGATGAAATAAACTATCTGATTTTTTGTCAAAATTAATTTAAGCCCATTAAAAAGAAACCGCATTATTATTAAGAAATGATAATTACTCTATCATTAACAAACAAACTAATAAAATCTGTGAATTAATTCACTAATTATTCTTTAGAGTTATGTTAAACTAAAAATACTGGTATAGTATATAAATTTAAGATTAACATCAATCGAGATAGATCAGCAGAGAACTCATAAGAATAATATAAAATAGGATACATTTTAAAGTAAAGAAGTCTTAAGTAACTGCACACTCATCATCAAATCTCACAGAAATCGATTTTTTCAGGATAAGAATAAAGTGTTCCTATTTTAGAAGATTCAATCGATGAACCCTTTGCCAAAACTCCTTTAGTGGTGAAGATGAGCATGCCATCATAAAGGAAATGGTTATAAAAGAAGAAGGAGGATCAAATATAATTATTATCCTAAACCTAATTTCATTAAGCAAACTCAATTCTTATTGTTGATGATGAACCATTCAATCATGATACATTAATATTGATGTTAAAAACTTTGGGATTTAATAGTTATTTAAAAGCCTTTGATGGTTAATAAGCAATTAATTTAGCTTTCGCAAAACAGAATGAAATTTATGTTGTGTTCATGGATCTTGATATGCCAATTATGGGTGGTATAGAGGCGACCAAATTTTTAGTTCAAGAAATGATCAAATGCAACTTACCATATTTTCCTATAATAGGGTGCACTGCCCATGGAGATGCAGAATCTATAGAATAATGTAAACAAGCTGGAATGCTTCATGTGGTTGTAAAACCTGTGTTTATAAAGACTTTAAAAGAGACATTCCATTTGATTTCAGATGATTCTATAAAGAAATCTTACAACCGTGTTGGATCTTTGTAATTTTCGTGAAAAATATAGTGTGTTTAAATATAATAATTAATCATATAACTTGACCCCCACTACTTTTTTACAATCCATATCTATCAGATATCATTCTGCTTTGAAATTTTGAATCTTTAATATCACTAAGTAGCATAACTGATCCAGAAGAATTTATTTCATGTTTATTTTTTTTATTTCTCCAGAGTTGATCAGGGCTTGATAACACGATCAAAGAATCATCCTATTATAAATCCATAAAGTTCTTTTTTCTTTGGGTTTGAATAGATTCCTTAAGTATTAGAGCAACCTTCCTGAATTTGGTTGAAGACGAATTCTTTTTTTTTTAAATAAAGATATTCCTACATAAAGGTAATCTTAGAAGGAGAGGGTATTTATCTTTTAAATAGTTTTAAATTTAGTTAATTAAAATTTGATTTTGATCAATATTTTCTTGTAATATCTTTCTAAAGATATGATATAAGAATGCACAATTAGCTTCTAAAATGATGACATAGAATATGTAAATGTAATTTCTCAATGCAGTTTGTAACATTTAATATGAAGATGCTCCTAAAACAATACTAATAGCCAAGACTTTCGATCCAAAATCTTCCATCTAATTTAAATTCTTAGTTTTAAAAGGCTGATATGATTTGGTTAACAATTAATAGGCTTGAATCAATAAAAATACCATCGTAGCTTTAAGGACAATATATTGATCAAATAGAGTAATAATGATAATTACAAGATTCTTCATTCCCAATCTTACAAGTTCCCAAAAGTAGGCATTTTCATTAAATTCTGAAAATAAGTAACCCCATGTTGATTTTATTTTATTTAGTTAATTTTTATTTCTGTGCAACTTGAGAAACATGAGAAAAGGTATAATAACAGTCAATCCGAACAAATTTGGAAAAGCCAAAACAGAGGAGTAATAGAAATTCTTATCATATCTGTAAGAAACATCACCAATCACCCAATCATATCCTGAAATGTTACGAAATCCTAGTATTGATATTAAAACCCCAATCATGCTTGGCTGCATAGTGACAAATGTTTACAGTAAAATGATTGCTGACACACCTTGTTTATAGCTTTATCTTCTTATAGATATTATGAACCCATATATGCAAAATACGAAACATAAATATAGAACAGGTGCAATAATGATCCAAATTATTCTGGAATGCAATATATTCATATCATAGGAGATCAAAAAGCAATCAATTGAATTTTCAAGTGATTTAGTTTGAGAACCCGCACTATTAATAGCTATACTTACCAAATTTGGAAATTACAATTAGAAAGTGGTTAAAGTAGATATTATTTACAAATAATGAAACATCATCTTATACAATGAACTAGATTCTTGAGTGTCAGAAAATACTTTTAAACCTCCCCTTTTTAATATAGTTCTCAATAATTCCATCTTTAAGTTTTCTAAAGAACTATTCACAGATATCACCATTGAAATCAATGTCCATAAACCTACAATTAATAATGACAAGTAAGCAAGATTTGAATCTTAACATTAAAAACAATTCATATTTGACTTAAAATATGATCCTTGTCCTCTAATATTGTAAATATCGCAAGTTTCACATAATGCTCCAAAACTCCCTTGTATACATGAATCAGGTCCTGCAGCCCAACCACCTAAACACTTTTCCAGTCCTATAATGCATCTGGAGATTTCATCATTATCAAAGTATGGTCTCCAATAAGTAGATTTGATTTGAATATTTGACTGAATAACATTTTCCATTATTTCTTAATCTCCTAAGGTACACTTAAGACTATTTTCTTTTAAGGAATATGTTTAAGCTACACATTAGACGCACATTGAATTAGTCAAGATTTCACCTCTTTAACACGGAAATGTCTTTACTTTAATAACTATCGAATAATTGTCGTGAAACTACAATATATGTTAATTTAAGCTATCATAAATAGGAATCTTAATAGAATCACATCTTATTTCTAATAACAAATCTTCATTAGTTAGTATTCTTAAATCATCAAAATTGTAATCTTAAGTAGTCATATTGAAGGAGACACTCTCAATTGATAAATAATCAGTTGTAAAGCTTTAATCTTTACTTGATAATAGCCTACTACGGATATTACATTTAGAATCTTACAAATGATATTATCTTTCGTTAAAGTCATTTAATGGTATAAATCTAAATTTATAATTTAATTTTTTGTAGACTTAAATAGATGAAACATAGGATAGCTAATTACCTATGCCATGCTCAGTAAAATTTTCATTCAAAATTTGATAATTTTATATTTCTACATTGTTTGGCAACACTATTTAACTCATGACTTCTTCAATCACACAAGTATCATTTTTGAAACGAATTTCATTTTCAAATATTTTTTAAGAGTTTAATGATAATGCCAATTTTGACGGTTATGATTACATAACGCCATTCTTATCATCTTCTTAATTATCCACAATGATATTTCTTCTATTTTTTTGAATAGACAGGGGGGTAGTAGAATAAATTCCAGCTCCAGACTATGCAACATTATTTATTATCTACGAATCTGTCATTTCTAAAGATCCCTTATTTAAATATATTGCCCCTCCCAAGTTTGCTGAGTTATTTTAAAACAAAACTGAGTAACACGAAATAGAAACTCCAGATGCATAAATGCAACCACCATAAAAACCTGTATTCTTAATAAATTATGAATTTTTTATTAAAATTTGACCTATATTTGTTTTTAAATCATCTGCATATGTAAACAGTAATCTGTTTTAGTTCATATTCTTAATATTTAAAATAGAACTGTTGCCTATATTCGAAATGAATTTAGTTTGTTAAATTATAACCAGATTGTTTGATTCAATCTAAAATATATTGCAATTAGTACAATATATATTCGAGAAAATTACAGAACTAATGTAAATTTCAGATTGGGTTTGGAATATTTAAAAAATGTTGTAGGTTTAGTAATCATATGAAATTGTGATGTTCTATTCACATTGTTTTGTAAAATTACTAAACTATGATGATAAAGTGTACAATTCTTATGTACATTCATACTTCAATTCTTCTAATTGCAATTCAGAATAAACACAAATAACCTTTGTATAATTTTGATATACGCCATAAAAACGACTATTAGTTATAATTATTGGACCTAAGGATCTATCAAAAAAGATTAATGGTCTTTTCTGAAGAATGAAATTTAATAGATACACTGTATCCAAAGTGACTTAGTAACACTGTTTAAGTGTCATGAAACCATATCCCATGATATTTTACACGACTAAATTCTTCACCCTTAATTTTCCTTTTTTAGTCTCAATTAACACAGAATCATATGTATCAAATGTGAACATGTAAATAAGGTCTTTCATTTGGAGTAATTTGATATAATCGTCATATCCAGTCTTTGTATTTTAAATGATGCAATCCTCAATTTACAATGTATATTACTCTTACAGAAAATCATTAATCTCAATCGAAATGACTGAGGATTACAATGAATGAGCATCACTTATAGACACATTATGGAATAAGATTGAAGTCTAATCTGATAAAGTCAACATGGCAAACCCTCCCTTATCAAAACTCCAACTATTTTGAATGGTGCAATTAATGAGTTTAAAGTTTAATTTAGACCCTTTGCTATCTATGAAGAAGGATCCTCCTTAGCTTTCTAGTTGTCCTATAATTGCTTATCCATTCTTGAATTATGAGTTAACTATAGAGAAGATTCCATTATTGAGGGTTATGATATACATACATCCTCCTTTATATCCAACATAAGTTTCAAATTAGCTGTTTGATATTTAGATCTCTTCCACTTAGATTTAAGCTATTCCACCATAACTCTTAACTTTAAAATAATGTTCCAATTGCTCCTTGTATAATAATTCTTAATATTTAAATGAGAGTACTTAATAAAATAGTTTATTCACTACATTCATTTCCTTGAAAATGCACTTTGATATAAATAACTTTTAGCACTAAATATATATATTAGAGTTCAAAGAGCCAATGATTAAGTTAGATTTAAACATATTATTATAGAAGTAAACAGATCCCTAAGGAACTAAGAAGTACAGATTATTGGCTGAGGTTCCATAAGTAGTTATACCAATGTATTCTTTATAAATGGTATTTATAAAATTGGTATTTGTGAGATTGATAGAAATGGAATTCTTAGATTCTATCACTATGAATGCAACTGTAATATTATTGGTAGATTTGATAATTAATGAATCTTGGAATACAGAGTCTTTAATGTTGATCAGACATTGAAAGTTGAGTTCGGTACTACCTATTTTAATGACTGGTTGGTTATAGGTGAAAATATTAGTAAAATTTACCATTTAGAATTCTACACGTTTGATGTTTAATAGATTAATGATTGGCTTTTTGGAATCCAATAAATAAATGCAATCCAAACTCTGTGATAAACCAGCCAAATAATACTGTTAATAAACGGTAATGTTTTCAAAACTAAAAAGATCCAAGTCAGTTGCTTCAAATATAGCACTGATTTAATTATTGATTTCAATTAAACTATCTTTTAGAGTAAAGGAATTAGACAATATTTGGAATGCATAATTGACATCCTTTTCGATTGGAAGCATATATAACTCCATGTTTGTCATCTAAATTAGGGTTGATGATTCAATATAGAGAAAACTTGAAGAATAATAAAGAGAGTTGAGTGAAAATGAAACTCGATCTATTAAAATATCAGCTTATCCAGTCGTTTGACTAACATGCATAAGATAGCTATTATAAGTGAGATAATTCCCTTCAAATTGTGAATTATACAATTATAACATTGATGATTAGCAAATTTATGAATTATCAAAGAATAAATTCATCAAAACATACAGATTATTAAAGTGAAAATCTAAGCCTTAAAAGGCTGAAGACTATTCCAAATAAGTCCATTTTATTATGAAATTATCTATTTTACTAATTTAATTAGATTAAAATATTTTGGAATTTAATAAGTAGTTTGATTCTATAGTTATAGAATCCAAAATTAATTCATCAACATTCTAGAACTAAAATAAAGTGGAATTTTTTAAAACAATATTTGATAGCTTAACATTTTAGATGGTAACTGATTTGATTGGTTCTACTTTGAGTAAAGACTGTAAATTAGAAAATTTAAATCCATCTAAATTTAAATTGATCATAAAAAATGCTATTAAGTTTGAGTATTCAAAATAGAAGGAGCCTTAACCTAAAAAATTTGAATTCTCAAAACCTATGGTTGTATGATCTAAATTAAAATTGAAACTTATAGAAGTGTCTTAGAAATCAATATACAAATTTTTAATCCATAAAGAATGAAATTCTTTGATATAAATATCTCCTTGAAAGTAAACAGTCGAAACTTCTGACAAACCCATAATTTATAATGAAACTTTCTTTAAAGTGTAAACATTTGCTGAGAATTCTTAAGAAATCACTAAATTTTACGGAAAACTACAGGTTTAAATTGTGAGGTATATGTTCAAAACTTAGACATTTTATTCATTCATGTAGTTGAATAGACCATTGGAATATAGCAATTAAAAGACATAAGATAGATCTGATTCTTAGTTATATGGAATATCGAAAACATTTTGAGCGGTTTAATCTGATGAACAAATCAAATTCAAGGAAATAGACATGCTCATCTAGCAATTGGATTCATCAGGACAGTTGCTAAATTAATAAATATTAGTATCAAAGACAGTATCCTCTAATATAGGTAATAAGCATTAATTTGTGAATTGAGTGACAGCAATATCTGATGCTGGAACACAAAATTGACATAAACTATGGCATTAATAACAGGAATTGTTGTACAGACTAAGGATTAATCCATTACTTGAATAAGAGCATTTGGAGCAAATGTTTTAATTGTCGATAATCAAGCATTCTAAACAATCCGATGGGCATTTATTTATACAGATATCGTTATACAACATATATCCAGTTTGACATGAAGTACAGATTACTTCAAAGTCATCTGGATTACTTGATTCTACGAAGGTGAGGTAGTCATGATTCACATTCTTATTAACAAAAAGTTCAAAAAATGGTCTAATATCTTTTTTCCAATTACTCTTATTTATTTTAAATTGTTGTGAACATGAGAAACACTGTTTAGGACATTAGATACACATTCCAACAATATGATCTGCATAATAACCAGGGAAGCAGTTTATGCAAATAATTTTATTGAGATAATTAACACACTCGTAGCAATTTTATAATTTTTACTCACAACCTAAAAGTGAGACTGCCTATTCTCCACCAACTAAACAATAAAAAGTACCATTATAGAATGCTGATTCTTAACACAATTAAGAGGATTTATAACATGTATATGAAATATATGAAAAAGTATATCCAGATGTGCATCTAGGACAAAGAGGAATAATTGATGAGGTTATTGACATAGGTTGAAAGTATAGGTCAATCGTAGTTAAAGGAAAATCCCCAGATCCAGGATATTATTAAGCCCCATAAAGACATTATTTTATGGTAACAATTTAACATTTGAGAGCATCATAAGAAATTTCATATAAACTTGGATCTGTGCATTTTAGGCATCTATTGATATGATTCTGTTTGATTTCATCAAAGTAGAATTCACAAATAGAGCATTGTGCTCCACAACCATAGCATGAACCTTTAAACAAAGCAAATCCAGGTTAACAAGTCGAACAATTGATAGTTGAATTACAAATGGCACAATTTAATGGGCACTTCTAACATTTAGAACCATCGAATTCATACAACTAAATACATTTAGTACATGTTTATGCATTATTACAATTCTTGCAATTCTCAATACATTTTTAACAAGTGTTTCCTTAAACAAAATATCCAATTTTACAGCTATAATACAAATGATTAAAATGAATGCAGGTTATCTTTGTTACATCATTGCAATATCCCAAACATCCCTTGCATAATTCTAAGTTCATCAATTAACTATTGACGAAAAATATTTCATATAAACTTTCCTCCCTAACTGATTTTATATAAGTTGAAGTCAAGGTATATCTCTTATAATCAAAAGTGCAGACAGGATTTTAATACCAACTTTGTGAATTAAGTAAACAATCAGCACAATTTATTTGATAATCATTAATTGAACTGGGGCAAGAAATACATTTGCCATCAACTAGGAACTCTCCATACTTACATTTAAATGTATTGTTTTAATATGTTTGATTCATTATGGGATACAATTCATTCATTTTACTGCACTTTTGAGTTAGATCTAAATCCACAAATCCAAATTCACAAGTACAAAATCCAAATTTCCATTGTCTATTTGAATTCTATGGACATGTGAGACAGTCACTTTCAGTCGGTCCATCGCATGTTTAACAGGAATAGTGGCATCTCACTGAGTATGCTAATTCTTACTCATAATTGTAAGTGATTTCTAATTGGATTTTGCCTTCCAAATAACTTTTATAAAAAAAACTATCTGCTCCAACGTATAAATAAACAAATTGATTATGGAATTATAAAGCACTAAAAGTCTAAATAACTTCTTAATCACCTGGAAAGAGTATTTTTACATAAGTCTAGTCAACCAAATATTGAAAATAAATATAGTGCCATTTTTGAAATCTATCTCTATTTGTTGTACTTTAAATTGCAAAAGTGTTTATCGCTTTTGTGAGATAAGCCAATTATGGATATGGGTAGGAGTAGGCTAGAACACTCATATTGAACAAATTATAATTATTTGATGTGGAATCCAAAACGTAACTCATTAATAATACTCTATCTCCCAAAATACTATCATTACGATAATTTTCATTCAAAGTCAATCTCATTAATAAATATCTCTGTCTTTCGACTACATTCTCATAATTAACCTTAACCCAACATCTAATTTGATATTTGTGACCTAGCATCAAAAATTTGGTTGAGTAAAATACATCTCCCAATAATTTAAGTCCATTAAAAACATCGACAACAGTTATGTTGTAAGACTGAGGACTTTAAAAATTTTGAATAAAAAATTAATCAAACTCATTATCGTTATTAAATGGTGCTATTGTGAATTGTTTGACTTCACTATATTTTCCATGAAAATAATCGAAGTTCAAGGTACTACCAACCTAATTAATCATATTATATTATTATTACCTTTCCATATTAATTTAATACAGGAACGATGTTCTTCGTAGTCAATTTGACACTCTACAACTTGCTTCCTCTCACATATAACTTTGATCCATCTTATAGATTCTCAAGATAGACATAATACCAAATTCCTTCAAACTTTGTAGGATCTTAACTCAAATTAGTAATTGTATTGAAATCACTCACCGTAATATTTAGAGTTATTGAATTAAAAGAGAGCCATATGTAAAATTTGCTTGAGGGTGCTTTTGAAATAAAATTGTAGTTTGCCATAATATTTTACCCTGTAAATGTGGATTTATCATTTAAAATAAAATCTCCTGATGCCTTTATATTAGAGAAAGGTAAATATTGAAACCAAAATCCGTAATGGGTTGCCTATTAAATACACTATTTAATTAAAAGTAATAAGATAAGCATATAATTAAATTATTCAATTAAATTAATTTGTAATAAAATTACACTTCGTTTTCTTTATCTGTAAAGAGTTTTCTCTTCACGTTTTTTATTTCTATTCATTCACTTTATTGATAGTCCCAATATTTTTTAAGGGGCTTTATGAGTATTTGACAGCTTTGTCATTTTCACATGAGTTGTCACACATTACACTTCGTTATTTAATTTTGAACTAATATAATTACATAAATAATGAATTATTCCCTAAAATTATAAACACGCATTTTTTGATAAATTATTGATTAAATGTGAAAAAATAAAATTTAAAATAAGTGCATTATTAAAATTCTAAATGACAAGAAAATCATAAAAGTTAATTAAATTAATTTTTATATAATATTTAATGTTCGCTTTGTCGGATTTTCTGTTAAGCAGATCTTATAGACATCAATTTTTTGAAATCTTCCGAATAATTTATTTTGATATGAATAAATTCAATTTCACTCATACTTGATAGGAAATTTAAGAATATTTATAAAATTAAATTCATTTTATTGTTTATGAAATTAGATATTAAAATATTAATATTAGTGTCTACCATGTCAAGAAGATCAAAATATTTCCAATAATTACCAGATCTTACTTATGAATATGCATGCAACTTATATCAACTTAATTCCAAAGCAATAGTGCTGACTTTATTGATAAAATGTTGTCTTAATTTCTATCTATTTTTTTAATATCAACTATGATTCTAGGTACAAGATCATCTGCACACAGCTAATCCTAAAATAGAGTTACTTTAAAATCAAAATAATTAAGACTGTTTTTCTTGTTAGTTACAAGATAATTGCGTCATTTAAAATATTTCTTAATTAAATTTAAAAACAAAATTATGACATGACAATTAAACATTGATCTTTTCAGTAATACCTATGGTGCCTAGCCTAAGTCCTTTATTTAATGAATTCTAAAAGCAATTTGATAAACATATAGAATTCAAATTACGAATATATATCTTTGTTATATTAAAATTAAAAAATAGTTAAATATAGAGTTTAGTAATTAAGATGAATAGATGTATATTGAAATATAAGTACTATCACAACTTTATTCAATATGAATCATATCAAAACTTAGGAATTTTAGAAAATTCTTCTGAAGCTTAATTGAACAGAATTTATTTTGAATAAATTTTTTAAATTATATAGATTTTAATAAAAGATTATTATCTCTTAATGTGATATTTATTGTTTTCTTTATTAATTTTTATAATTAATTTGACATTAAATGGCAGAATTTAAGGAAGTATAAAATTAAATATAAACTCTTTAGGATAAATTCTTTAATAAGCCAGGAGATTCTGATGATTCTGCTAATAAATTAAAAAAAAAAATATCTAAGCCGAAGTAATAAAGTTTAATCTCAACATCATTAAAGATCAAGGAAATGTTTAAAAAATAACAATTCAAGGATATTGTGAATTGGGCTGAAAAAGATACCTCCATTACACTTCATGAATATGACGAAATGAAAGTTAATTCCCAAATGTTAAAACTTGGATAATGTGCTTTAATAAAAAATGCTAAAAATCCTTCTGAAGATTATGTTGGTAAACTTCAAAGGATCGTTACAATTAAAGAAAATAAATCAACTAAATTAATTTGCTTATGCGAAGTTAATTGGTATGTCTAACATTCATGAAAGGTTTTATCGAAAAAGTGAAATAATAAAATTTAAACCCTAAGCCAAACCTTGGATATCCAATAATGAAGTATTCAGCACTAATTGCACCGATTATGTGTTGGCATCCACAATATTGTCTCCTTGTCGAATAGTAACTCTGGAGGAATATGAAACATGTACACAAGTGGAAAAGGGAATATTTTTCACTAGGTTAGAATGGTTACCTACAAAAAAGAAGTTTGACGGACTATCAAAACTTTAACATCATTGTACTTGTAAATAGCCCCAAAATCCAGATTAAATATATATTTAAGTATTTTCTTATCTATATTTTTAGTGTGATAAATGTTAAAAATGGTACCATATTACATGTGTAGGATTGAAGAAAGGAGAATATGAATAGAAAGAATATATTTGTGGATGCTGTAGATGAAATATAGTTAATAATATTATTATAAAATATGGGAATCGATTCTTTATTAAAAGCTCTGAAGTCAGTAACAAAGCCCAAACATATTTCTGAATATTAGAATAAGAAAATAGCTGTGGATACATATTGCTGGTACTTTGAGCACTTATAGTTTAGGTTACATAAAGGGATATTTTTGTGTGCTTAGGAATTATCAGATGGCAGAGAGACAAATGAGCATATTAATTATTGCCTAAAAAAAGTAGAGTTGCTCAAAAAATATAATATTACTGTTGTTATGGTATTTGATGGTGCAAAACTGCCAAGCAAGAAGACTACAGAGGAAGAGCGGGAAAAGTAATATAAACTTCAAATTTTAGAAAGAGGAATGACAACCTATAAAAGCATTTAGAATTTAAGTAACAAGGGGAAAAAGACAAAGCTTATTAAAAATTGGTTGAATCTATAGATGTTACTCCTCAAATGGCATCTAAATTATTGGAAGCATTGAGAATCAGGAATATTGAATGCATCGTCGCTCCATATGAAGCAGATGCTCAATTAGCGTATCTATCTTTAACAGAATATGTTGATGTCATCATAACCGAAGATTCCGATCTTATTGCTTATGGAGCGAAAAAAGTGCTTTATAAATTGGACAAATTTGGGTATGGTGAAGAGATTGATTACAATTCTATTTCATCATGCACTGAATATAATTTTTAGAATTGGCATCATTAAAAATTTCTCACTTTCTGTATCTTATCAGGTTGTGATTATTTGAGTTCATTAAGTGGAATAGGGATAAAAAGAGCCTATCAAATAGTAGCAACTTCATAAAATTATAAATAAGCCATTGATAATCTACAGAGGAAATAAAAGATCACTGTTCCTTTTGATTATGTTGAATAGTTCGAGAAAGCATATCTAACCTTTCTATTTTAGAGAGTGTTTTGTCCAGTTCAAAGAAAAATGGTCTCAGTGAATACCTTTGATACTGATCTCTTATATTCTCAAATGAAATCTTTATTGGAAGGCAACCTTGATTTCTTAGGTAATGTTTACACAGACACCTTGATTCAAGACATAGCAGATGGTAAAATCTGCCCATAAGATTTAAAACCATATTCATAATCATCTAAGAATTTAAAATACTAAAATATGGAAAATAAGTATCAAAATGATAATAACGAATTAGATATACCAACATTCGGCAAGGATAAAAATGTTTAAGTTTTCAAATTTATTAAAAAATCATAATCTACAAAAATAAATCCAGAAGAAAATGCTGAAAGAGTAGAAGACTAAAAAATTAAACCCCAATCCTAAGTGATTCATTCAAAATAGACTGAAATTAACGAAAAATCTCAAATTGAATAATAATTATATAACTACGAATAAAGTAATATATTTTCTAGTTAACAGGAGACACTAAAATAAAAATCCTTATTTAACACTAACATTTTAGCCAATGAACAAAAGAAGAAGTAGTCTAAAATCGTTATAAAACATGAATAAAAAAGAATTAACGAATATTTCCAATCCTCTTTTAAACCATTCAAACCACCCTCGTCTCACATTTAGAAATAATATTAAATTTCTTAAGTAGTCAATATCGTTGAAGAGGAATGCTAAAGATTTGAATAGAAAGTTAATTCTCAAGTTGAAGAGGAATTTTAACAATATAGTATTTCTGAGGAATTTTCTGATAATTTGAAAAGATTCTATTATACAGACTTTGGTCTATTCTTAAACTCAGAACTCCAGTTTAAATAAATACAGCTTTGAATTCTATATTTATTATTGTTTACTTTTATGAAATTGAAATTACATTTTTAGAAATTATAAAATTGATATTTAGATCTGAGTTTGTTTCGATTGATAATCACATAATCATAGTTAATGACTATGCAACTCAAAAGATCATTCTTGATTTTATTAATAGAGAATCGTAAAATATTGTAATAATAACTTAATTATATATAATTATCAGTTTTTGTGTCAATTGAGTTCTGATTCAATCTCTCTATCTTCTAATGATTAATTATGGATATTTACTTTAAACTTGATCATTTGAAGGGGAATTGTATTAATCATTGTCGTTCTCATCAATATCTTCATGTTTCATTTTTTATCCAATCTAATCGTTATATTGCTATTATAATTATTTCTAATTACTTTTTAGATTAAAGCGTTTGTAACTTTAAATTTCCCATCCAATTCATAAATGGTTCCAGATCCCTCTGATTCAGCTAAGATAAAATTAACAAGTTCTTCTTGAACTTCATTTGTGTAAAATAAACTTAAGTTTTTAGTTATTTAATTATGCTTAGCACTATTACCAAATGAGCAAATCACCTTGATCAAACAATCTAGTAATTAGTTGGGAAATGATAAATTAAGGAACTTCTGGGTAAAATTCTTAATCTTAAAAATTCCT